CCGATCCCAGAGCAGCCGATCCCAGAGCAGCCGATCCGAGGTAGAGACGGTGTTTTGGTGAATCTGCAGCAGCTGATCTGTTCCATAATCACTGAGCACAGCTGCTGTTTGCTGTGTTCCACCTACATGATGACAACCAGTCATGGAGTCACAACCCTAACCCTGGTCCTCTGCAGGTCGGGCTGCATTTCGGGTCTCAGTTCTTAAACCTTATCTGACTGTGTTCACGCAGGAAGAGTCTCAGCTATGACTGAACATAACTAAAGACGGCTGACACACATTTGTTGGTGACCAAAACTCTCGTAGTGTATGTTAGGATGCACGTATCTTCTGCTTATGTCTGTATATTAACGTTCAATGTACGATTTGCAGCATCACAGCTGAAACGTGGCTGTTAAAGGCCTCCTGATGTCTGTTTCCAGCTTCAGCTCAGGTCAAATGGTCAGGAGGGTTTGTTTTCACAACCAGCATGGGTAATTATAAACGTAGACACCGATAACTGAGACGTTTTTTAAAGATTAAAGTCACACTAACTCTAAGACAAGACATGGCCTCTCAGGGTTGATGATCTGTCAGACTGCTGTGGCTGCTTCAGAGTCAGAGGAGCATCTGTTTGATCAGAAACCGATTGAAACTGCTGAATATTAGATCAAACAATCAACTTGTTTCGTGTCTGTACTTTTGAATAAATGCACATTGTAGTATATATATATATATATTCAGAGTTTCTACATTTGAGATACAAATACATGCTGTTCTGAAATCCACATGACACCCTGATGGGAGGTTTAGGACCTCACAGTAAATCACACCAGGAAAGGAAGATGCTGGTGATTTAGAAATCCTCTTAGCCTTTCTAGGTTTATTTGTCAAAGGAATAAAAATGTCAGAATCACCACTAAGATCAGGGCTCATATGGCAGTTGAAGTTTATTTGACCTTATTTGGCGTTTTTTCAGATCTTTTGACAAACAAAGTGTGTTTTATGCTCAACAAATGAAGCCCCATCCAGCAAAGCAGCTAAAACATGGAATTTCTCTTTGTATTCTCAGTGTTTCTGACTCTGGCACCACTGGTTCCCTATTGTGGTGGCAGACATTTTCTTTTAGGGTGCCATCAGTTCTTGAATAAATGACACGATTCAGGTAGTTCATGATTTAGCAGTAAATACAACAACAGGAGCTCTCCTACGTCCATCACACCGATCATAGAACACGTCCGGTTCCTCCTTCATCTCAAACTGTGAACCGCTTCTCTTTGTGCTTTTTATTCATTTGTGTGTTTCTGTTAAGTCGAGAGGCCCAGCCTGCCTTAGAAACCCACTGAAATGCTTCATTTGTCTCTGTTTTATGGTCACAGGAACGTCTGAAGGTGCTCAGAGGTTTTCCTCTTTCTTCTGCAGAGTCCAGTCCTGGTACAATACAGCAGCTTTGTTTCTGATCATTTAAATATGCTGTCAGCACTACCATCTACGTTAAGGTCCAACAGGACAGAGGGCTGGAATAGGTCAGCCAATCAGGAGGCCTCTGTCCTCCTGCTGCAGTAGATCAGCCAATCAGGATGCCTCTGTCCT